TTCCAACCTAGTGATTCTGTGATTCTGTTTGGGGTTTTTTTACTCTGGGAGATTTCCATCTGTTCCCCTTTCTGGACAGAGGTGTATGTTAAACGCAAAAATTATGTCAACTGTTGTATTTTTTTTTACTATTCTTTACAGATATGTAACAGCTTCCAATAGAGTTTGTCCTCTGGATAAACATGAAATTAAAAATTTATTTATTCTACAAGGTGGATCCATTCTGGATGTCTGTGCTGCCATGATTCATTGCAGCTTTTTAAGAAAAGTAATCTCTTTCAAGGAGGGAGGCAACGTTTTACTTTCTGCATTAAAATTATATCCTGGATAAAGAACATTCAAACAACAGATTTGTAATTTTACAAACATTTCACATACAATTGTTGGTAAGGAGAGAGTGGAAAAAGATTGAAATAAGATCCCCAACATATTTTAAGAGTAAGAAATACTCTTAATGAATTACTCAAGGAATGAGCTCACAATTAGCAATAGTTTAATAAACAAGGTAAGAAATATGTGACTAGGACCCCGAGTCCATAAATTAGACTCTGCTACAGGGATGTTTTGCAGGATGCAGTGCTGTGCACTATGCCCAAGGACCCCAAGCCCCAGTTGCTGCTGGATCACAGTGGGGATCCTCATCAGGGTAGAACACAGGCACTGAACCTTTATAGTAATACTGAAGCCGTGAGAGCAGTTTTTTTACCACATGAGGATATTTTTCAGATAAATCATTTTTCTCTTCAGGATCATGAACAATATCAAACAGCCAAAGTCTCTTTGTTGGTGGATCAGACGATTGAATCATTGACTCATTGAACAAAGATGGTGGAGGGAACCAATGACTGCAGCCTACAGAAACAGAAACAGACCAAGGGTTAATTCTCAGATACGGTGCAGCAGCATGTAGATGTAGAGTTTTACTGTAATCGAGGAATCCACTAGGTCCCATGACAAGCCATTGGCCTGTGACTACTGCTGCATTCCTTAATGCTAGCCAAAGTCTCTCTAGTCCAGGGATACCTATACAAGAGTCCTATTTATACAAAAAAGCTGTACCATTGGAATTCAAACTTCCACATCACTTAATTTCATATCAAGTAATTTTATGGACCGTCTTCTTGGATTTGATGATCTTTATGGGTCCCTTCCATCTTGAGATATGCTATGATTCTGTGATAATTTTTCCACTACTGTGAAAGTAATTTGTATACAAAATCTTTGCAAAATGAAAGAATATGATGTTTGGATTTTAGAAGTGCCCCTTCTAGAGTTTGCATGTGATCAAAAACCTGAGAAGTTAGCAGAATAACTAAAATAAATGAACATACATTAAACCGTGTTTGGGGCAGGTGGGCAATATGATACACTGTACAAAAAGGGGTTACTTAATTACCTGGATATCCAGTTAGTAACTTCCATTTTCCACGTCGGATTGCTGCGTGCATAGATACATTGAAAAGTGTATCATCCCATGGAAAAGAATTGCTCTGTGGGAAAGACGTCCTGTTGTCAATACCAAGACCTTAATGAAATAGTAAACTAAGTTAGGTACATTGCGTATGCATGAAGTAATTTTTAGAATTCTGTTGGAAAACAAAGCAGTATCATCCATTTATTTTTATGTATTGGATAAAAAATTTTATGTATATAAGTGCAAAGATCTGTGCTATGATTCATGGATATATTTAACTCTTAGAATTTGAACTGCACCCCAAAAACTTACCAGTGGCAAATGTCACACCTGAGTGTGGATAACTGGACTAATTTTGTTTACAGATATCATATGTGTATCTCACATTCCTATATTAATAATGGTCATGATTGTAACTGTTAAATTTGCTCATACAAGTGCCTGTATCTTTTGCCAGTTAGGAATATAGGATTGAAAGATCTCCTGAATCAGTGCTACTACTGTTAATTCTCTCAGATCACTTCAGGGAGCAAGTCCAAGGTCTTAACTTGCACCCACACACAGAGACCTGACCCTCTGTGGACTGAGCTGATTACGTTCACACAGATCCACAGCTGGACAGCAAGGTGCTTCTGTGGCATGACACAGTGTGAAGCATGTCTTCATGCTATCTTTGGTAGAGAGAGTTGCGTATGACATGGCCCCATATCCAGATACCGCAGAAAACTCTCAAGTGTCAACTATGTGCAAATTCCCTCTCAAAAGGAAACATGAAGTTCCTTACAGGAGGGGACCTCAGAAAAAAATTAACGTGCACACAATACAGCAGGGATGATCGGGAGACCAGTTCTTTACCGAAACCAGGAGGCAGTCAGAGAGACACTCCAGGAGCATCCAAACTATCTTGCATATCAGCTTTCATAAACAAGTTAAGAGTTTAAGAAATAAAGTCTAAGAGGTTTATATTAACTGTATCGGCTGATCCCTGTTTACCAAAAGACTACCAGAAGGCAACTCTATAATCAGACTAGAAACAAGACATCAGGAGGTGGAGAGAAACCAATGTTGACTTTCCATCATCTTTCAAGAGGTGAATTTCGATCAGTTTAGGGAATCTGAAGGACTCAGCTGACAGATTTTTGCCATTGAAATGAAAAACAGAATTCATGAGATGTACAATGATCATGTGAGATCCAATACTAGAAGCAGTACTAGCAGTTTCTAAAAAGAGTAAATTCTGTATGTCACAGTGGAGCAAATATATATCTGATCAAAGAGAGCAACAGAAAGTTTGGAAAGGAAACACTGGGATGCTATTTCTTGTTTTTTTTGTGAAGGTCCTGCTAAGTTTCTATTTTATTACTGGGCTTCACATTTTGGATCAGTTTTTCTTTATTAAGCACTGTTTGGGCATGCCCAAGTTCCCTGTTTATATCAGACTTCTATAATGTTCCAAGCTAAATAAGGCTATAAAAGGGGACTACTTGTTTAGAATACACATACACAGATAGGGAAGACTCAGCTCGTCTTAGATCATGAAGCACTGAAGCTGATGGTAAAAAAACCCAAACCCCTATAAAAACAAGGAAAACTTCATAAATACCTCCAGAAGAATCTCTTCTGGAAGATAAATCCATACACAGCGATGTGAAGTCCGTAGCAGATATGGAACAGTTTAAAGATTAATATTGCTTACTTTCCAACATCATTATGTTATGTATTATTCTGCTATTCTGTTTGCTACTGGGAATACTCATCTTTGCCATTTACTTTCTTAAAGAGCATAATGAAAGACATTCAGCAGATCAAAAAACACAATCATGTTTTTTAAACATTACTTCTCAAAATTACAACAATAGGGCTTGGTCTAAAGGAAACATCATGAGAGTCTGCTTTTCTGATGTTAAGGTTTAGCATTGAGAATATGCTTCTGACTGCTGAGCTACAGTATATGAAGCCATAGTATTACACAAGATAAATTATTTAAAATACTTCAAATAAACAGTATGAAAGATTGTATTTTTAGATATACTTTGCAAAATACCCTTAAAATGCCATACATAAGACTTCAAAATAAGATTCCAGAACATAAAACAATTTTTAAAAAAGTTATTTGGTCTATTTAACAAAATCAAACTTGTAAATTAAGAAATGCTTTTTCCAGAGCTTGTAGTTGAAGTTGTTTGGTGGGATACTATGTTTCAGCAAAATCTGTTGAAGAGAAAAAGATAAATTCCCTCATGCTGAACTATTATAAACAGAGGCCTGTCAGCCGTGTTAACTGACCCATTGCAAGCACTTGTCTTGTGCCGAAGAAATGTACTGTCTACTATTCAGGCAAGTGCATGGCTTCCCAGGCAGTACAGGTCAACTTTTATCAGACATACCAGCCATGGAAAACAGACTGATGCTTGTTTGAATTCTGTCTACATAGGATATTTGCAGAGCTGTGAGTTCATTACATTATACAAGCACCAGATACAGAACTAAGATAAATAAAAATATCACTTGATATGAGTTCTCTTCTTCCCATCAGATGACTTTCACCTCAAGCTAGGATATTCCTCCCCCTGCATCTACCTGACTTTCTCCTCCTTTTCAGCCCAGCTGTTAAGTTTCTACCTCTGTGTTCATTTTTCAGCTTCTGCTAGTGCAAGTGAAATGAAAAATGCCTGGGCAGTCTTCTCCCCCACCATACGAATTTTACAGGGATCCCTTTTCCAGTTTGGCAGACTAAAGCATAGTCATATTATTTTTGTTTCCTTTGCAAGATAAAACGTTCATTCCCCATAGCATTTAAGCAGTTTTTCTCTGCATCTGTTCTAGATTGTTGGGGGTTTTTTTCTTCTTTTTTTCCAGTGTTGTTGACCAGGCGGTAGCAGTGGCTCCACAGACTAACTCAGCAGTCAGACACAGATGTCTTTCTCGATCTGTCTAATCAAGTCTGCCTTCACATGCCTGCATACTCTCCTTATAAATGTATATAATAAAAATGTGATGCTTCTGCTTGTGCAAAGGGGCTAGACATTTTATTTTTCTGCCATTTGATCACCAGCGTATCAGTGGCTAATGAAATAACGAAAGCTTTTGTTTCACCTTAAAAAAAAAAAAAAAAGAAACCCACAGCTTTTGCCACGAATTTTCTTATTCTCAAACAGAAGCCACTGTTTCCTGAAGCCCAACTTCAGAGCCTCACCAGCTGCTGTATTTCTTTTTAAGTACTCTCTTGGGAAATGATACAACTTTTATTACTTAAGAAAGCAGTGAAATTTCATTCCAATATTTATTTTTAAATATTTAATGCTATGACAAATTGAGGTAAATATTTTAGCGTTTTGTTTGAAGTTGTAGGTCACGAAAAAGTATTGAAATAGCTTTTATATCTCTATAGAAAAGACAGGTCCTTCAGAAAATGTTGCCTTTGTTAAGTGACTTTGGAGTATATATCATATTTCAAGACCATCCTTAGTCTTAAGAGTCTGGAAACCAGTTTCAGGATCAGATTTTAAAAGGAATTGAGGCGGCCAACTCCCACTACCCACAAAAGTAGTTTATGTTCTAAATACTTTAAAAGCCTGACCTTTTGCCCCTTATGAAGACTTCAGCTTAGTCCTTTTATTCCCATTATCATACATTGTCTTTATAAACAGATATATATTCCAAATTAGGATGTAAAGGCCTAAATAATTTTCAATAGCTAATTAGTATCTTCAAGAGACCTGATTTTTCAGACGGCAAATGTCATCAATTCTGAAAATCTATGCAAAATGCTCAGAAAGCATCAGACAGAAATGTTAGCTGCATTTGCAAAAATAATTGCCAAGTTGATAATTTCAATATCCCATAGCATCCTCTTCATGGAGGATATTGAAAAAATTACTGCTGGGTAAATATCTAAAATAACATTCTGAATGATGACCAGAGAATATGTGGGATTTGTCTAAAAATTGAAAAAATTTTCAATGCATTAAGCCTTGCTAATACACAAGCATAAGTGCAACAAAAGGGAAAGTAATGAATATGGGGGGAAAAAAGTCAACCCTAACTCTGCATACACAAATGAAAGTGCTCTGAACAAGCTATTGCTATTTAGGGAAGAGTTGGTGAACTTAGAACAACCAGATAATGTCCAGCGTCAGTCAAAAAAAAGGAAAAAACAGTATTAGAAATGGCAAAGAATGGGACACTATGCCACTGCTGTGCATAACACGGGATACTGTGCGGCTGTGGTCCCCACAGTAGAAATCAGATACAGAAAAACCAGAAGAGGTTCAAAGAGATGTGACAAGCAAGATTAAAGCTATGGAACAGCTTCTGTGTGAAGAATGACTAAACAAACAGGACTCTTCATCCTCAAAGATGAATAACTGATGAGCGACAGGACAGACATCTGTAAAATTGTGTGGCCATGCCAGGCTGAATAAGGAACAACTTTAACAAAGTTAAACAAAGTTAAACAACAAAGGTCTTTCCAAATAGGGGGTATCAAATAAATTATGAAGCAGCACATTCAAAATAGCCAATACGATACACTTCCTTACCACCAACCCAACTCAGGAGTGGAATTCCTTTCCACAGTATGTTGCAGATGCCAGAAAATTGCAAAGGTTGAGTGACAGAAAGGTTCACAAAGTGGAAGAAAAATCCGTCAAGGATTCTTAAATATAAAATCACAACCTAAATATCAGAAGCTCCATTAGCCACAGGTTGTGGGGCAGGGAGCATGCAAGAAAAGTATATTTACGTGCTTGCCCTCATGCATTCCTTCGTACACAACTGCTACTCTCGGAAACAGAATAATGAGCTAGACAGATTTTTGGCCTGATCATACACAAGACATGTTACCAAATTAATTTCAATTCAGGACAAGCCAAATATTTTGCTTACAAAAGAAAGCAATATGGCCAAGCAGATTTATGCAACCCCTTTTATTTTAGTAATTTCTGTATGGACTAAACTGAAAGGGTCGAAACTTTCACAAAAGGCAAGTGTATATGATTCAGACTCAGGTTTAACTGTAGTTTTAGAAATACATGAACACCATGAGTAATTTCTAGCATAGGCCTCCAGTTTACTTTCAGTGTTATTCTTAAAAGGGGAGATAGCATAAA